GCCTAAAAACATTCAATGGTGGCAAGTTTATTTAAAGTTGGGAATAAAAAAAGCGCACTTTTTTGTCTCACAAAAGTAAAGTAGCAAAAATATAAAAAAATATAAAGATATAAAACAGATGTATTATGGTTAACTAAAACTAAAATGAAACATTTTGTTGCTAAAATACAATAAAAGAAGGCTACATGAATATATATATATATATATATATAAGTAATACAAATTACAAAAACAAACAAAAAAATATATAGAAACAATACAAAAATAACACTGATACAAAATAAATGTTGAAAAACGAATGTTAAAAAACAGAAAAATGATTAAAGTTACACTATTGAACTTTTGGCCCTCTGTCGGTTAAAAACAAAATTGCTTGCATTTTGCAGAAGAACATTGTTTTGGTTATGCTTACGCTCTGCATGACAGTGTGGATGAATATAGTTATCCTAATAATGAAAACAAAAAAGTAATAAAAAACACGATCTCTGCGTCACCTTTACATTTCAATTCCCTTAGTTCTCGCCATCTCCAAAATGTCAAGCCAATGTTGATTCTGGTTTTATTACGAGCTCTGTCACGATCTCTTTTTGTCAGTGTTTATTTAAAACGGGTGATTTGTCGGAGTCGAGTTCGAGATTTAGCTGCTCCATGTCCACCCCTAACCTCTGTTGTGACAACTAACCTTTGACACACACACACACACACACACACACACACACACACACACAGCCAGAGCAACTAATCTCTGTTTACAGATATGACGAGACACAGGGGCGAATGACGTATACACATATTTTTTTCATTAAGACCATCATTTAAGGTCTAAAATATAATAATAGGCCATAGTTAATAATAGGTGTTCCATAGTGGTAGAAGGATTGATGTTGTATTGACTCATTATTTGAATTTTGTTACTTTTGAACAAAAAAAAAAGTTACATAGTGTACCTTTACATAAATGAAAATGATTTATGAAAATGAATGTTGAAACAAGAAAACAATTGAAATCAGCTAATTTAAAAAAAAAAAAAAAAAAAAAAAAAGCTCCTGGGACATAAATGTGTCTGTAGTTGAGGAAACACACACTATAAACATTTAAAGTGTTAATTTACAGTATAATCCTGGCTACTATTTGCTGTACTTTCATTTGTACTTGTATATATTAACAAATAAATGACAATGGTATACTGTGACATAACAGTGAAAAGTTTATATTAATATAGAAAACAGTTAAAATTGTAATATTTCACAATACCAAAAGGGTATTAACCAAAACATAAAAACATAAAAAAATCTTACCATCCCCAGACTTTTAAACGATGGTGTAAATATCACTGAATTTTGGTAGATTTATGCTTAAAATGGTACTATTATGCTTATTTAAAGGTTCATAATTTTCTTTATGGGCTCTACTAGAATAAGTTAACATCATTTAATGTTGAAAAACGTATTATTTTTCTTATAACTGACTTAGTTGCAGCACCTGTTTTCCCCGGCTGTCTGAACGCTTTTAGTTTCTGGTTCTCCTGAAAGTCAGCTCTGATTTGTCAATGCGTTAAAAAAATACATGTAATTAAGACATGTTCTCTCACGAAACGTTTTAATGTAAAAAAATTCGCTGCTCACACAAATCTATCTTGTTTTCTGGATGTTTCAATAAATGGAAAACGACAGATGGTGTAGTCTACACTGATTTCACTTTAAATTTCAGCAAAAGTATTTTATTGTATGAAATTAGGGTGAAATCTTCTAAAATGTAGGCTGTTTTTAACATCCAAACATTATGTGAGAGCAGAGTGCTTCTATATGTGTGTGCTTGTGGGGGTGGATTTTAACTAGAACTCTCAAATCACAAAATCCAATTTTCAGGTGCACATCTAGAGGGTCGACCTCAAATGCAAACAGCGAGTCCCCCCCACCCCCCACCTATCTACCCCTCTACCCTTTTCCCTACACATTGACACCAGACAGCACCCCTCCCCCATGCCCTGCTGGACAGCCCCCAAAACCCCCTCCGTCCGACCAGCAGCACCACAACACTATATGAAAAAGAATATGAGCAGGCATGAATTTTAATGCAGTCACTCATCTCAGCCAAGCAGCCTCACTTCTGCAGTGGAAATAAATAAAGAGGGGGGAAAATACAGAGAACTGATAGATGAATCTTAAATCAAAAGGAGACAGAGGAGAAGCATAGGCAGAAAGACAAAAAAAAGGGAGAAAGCGAGAAAGGGAAAGCAAAAACTAGAAAGGAGAGAGGTGAAATCTCATCTCTTGGCTGAATAATCTGTCATTCATCAAACTGATAGAACAGAGAGAGGTAGCACAGCCGTAAAACGAAATAACGGCAGAGGATGAGAATTTGGGATTTGGTCTGGCTCCAATTCACCACCTTGAGTTGGGTGGCCCTATAGTCATCGTGCCTACATCTACATCTTTCTCTTTTGGTCGAAATATTGCATGAATAATGCATGGATCTAGGTTTCATTAAAACCTCTCTTATTAATAATATCGCTCGTGGTGGAGTATTGGTGTGTGTGTGTGAAATGAGAAAACGTACCTTCCTGCAGCTGCTCACGTTTGTGCTCTGTCTGAAAAATCCTGCAAAATTGAACACGGCCCTAATTTTCTGCACTTTTCTTTATAACCAGCTTTCGAAACCAAAAAGCCAGTGGCGGTGAGGGGTAAACAGAGCGATGGGCAGGCCAATTCAGCCAAGCACTCAGCCAGATAACTCTGGGAGGCAAATGGGCATGATTTCACAAGGACGCTGCAATGAGGTCACTGTTACCTTGTCTTTGTCAGGTGAAAGGCTAGACTGAACACAACAAAGCCATAAACAAGTGGTGGAAGATCTCGATACTTATACTGTCACATGACTTTAGCGTTATACACTGTGAAACGCAAACCAAAGTATTTTCCAAATCTGTATTTTTGTCTCGTTTTCCAGTAAAAATCTCAAAACTAAAAACGTGATAAATTTTACATGTGTACACTGTAAAAAAATCTTTTCATGATTAGTAATCACATTTTTTCTTTTGTCAAATCAACTTAAATAATTTAATTAGTTCAGATAGCATATAATTTTGAGTTTCTGATGATTAACTTAATTTTTTAAGTTAAACCAACATTTTTTTTTTCTTACAGTGCAGTAAAACTGTGGAAGACTTATTTTTAACAAATATATATTGGCAAACTATTTTTATTTTTTTTTGTTTGCTCTAATTGTTTATTTCTTTTTGAAAGAAAGAATTTCAAACTTCTATTCAGCGAATAAAAGCATTAAAAAAACATTTCAAATATCCTTTCTATTCATCAAAGAATCCTGAAAAAGTATCACATTTTTTTTTACAAAAATATGAACTGCTTTCAGTGTTGATAATCAGAAATGTTTCTTGGGCAGCAAATCAGTATATTATTAGAATGATTTCTGAAGGATCATGTGACCCTGAAGACTGAGTAATGATGCTGAAAATTCAGCTTTGCATCACAGGAGTAAATTATATTGAAAAATATAGAAATGCAAGTAATTTGAGATATATTCTCTGATGACACATTTTGCTAAAAAAAAATTAGCTTCTCATGTAAATGTATCTTGTTTCCAGGATGTTTAGACATTTTTGCTGAAAAACGACCAAATACTGATCCCGAAAACTGCTGTGTGACTCATTGTAATGCATGTGTGAGATGGTTAATACCCTTTTCCACCAAAATGGTGCTGGTGCTCAGGGACGTCAGAATTTTACCACGTTTCACTGACTTTAGAGACGAATGATGAAGTGACTATGTTAATACATAATCTTTCCGAAGGCAAAAAATACTTTTTTCCCAGATTTGTTGCATATCAGAATCAAATCCATTTAGTTTGAACAGAAAAAAAAACACATTAATCTTATTTTTACAAACTTTTTTTTAAAATGTCTCATTGGATTTCAAATCATTGTTCTCTTTTTGTCATTGGACATTGCAGGTTTTTGACACTGTAAATGCATGAATATGTAAAAAAATGCCTCGGGACATCCGCACCGTGGTGAGATAAAAAAACATGAGCAGATGCAAAATTTCCATCTTGTTTTTCCACATTGACAGTTACCATTTCTTGTTCTATGAGAAAGTATCTTGGCATTGCTCTGACTGATTATTTAATTAGGAGATGAAGTAGATCCGGATATTGACAACATCTCAACAAATGGATCAAATTTTATCATTCGCGAAATGACAAAGCGGACACTGAATCCAAATCGGATTTGTGTGCAGTGTGAATGAACACGAGCTTTGTTTAGAAGTCATTTGCTTTGTTCAAATGGTGTCGTAATTACCATAATTAAAAGATTTTAGTGTGTTACCGTCTTCAGAACCAGATATTTGTTACTAAGGAAACCAATAGAAACCAAAAATTGGATCCAGGCTTTGATGTTGACAAAATACTTAATAACGATGTTAATTCACCACAATGCTTTAAAAACAAAGAAGGAAGAAAACGATTAATATTATTATAGTGTTCAATATATAATGAATAAAAAATCATAGCAATGAATTCACACATATTTGTAAATAAAATCTTTTTATTTCAGACAGATGGGGAAAATAAAGTGGCTGGAGTAGCTTTGCAGCACAACAAAAGTAGGAACAAAAAAGGACAAAACAGGATGCCAACTGCTGCATTGAGCACTTCCAGTTAGCCTTGTTGGTTAAAATGAACGATCTAGTTCTGTCATGAGTTGTTGTTTTGGAAACTTTAAGTGGTATATCCCGCCCCTGGTCCCTGGCGATAAGGGTGCCTGGTTTAAGACCAGCAGAGTCAGAATTACGTCCGGGCCAGAACCACCTTTAATTCATTGGAAATGTGTGGAACAGGGCCAGATTGAACAGCGGCTCCAGCACCAGCACCGGGTCAGTGGAAAAGGGGTATGAGAGTGGGTTAACTGTGTTAGAATAGTTTTACTCTATGGGTTGTGGTATGAGTGTGTAATCCATGGCTGAGGCTGATGCTGGGCTCACGTTTGTGGTTGTTCTTGCGCTGGAAGGGCAGTGTGTGCCGCTCGGAGTCTTCCTCACCCTCCTCGTCTGCCAGGTGTGTGTGAGTGTAATGGTAACTCAAACCTGGGCGGTTCTTGTAGCGCTTCCCACAAACTAAACACAGAGGAACACACAAGGAAACAAAAAGACTATAAACATGTGTACAAGAGTTTGTTTAATCTTGTTATGAACAAAAAGTATAAATTATGAGTATCATTATATTTATATACAATTTATATTATCGTTGTTTTATGTTGTTATCATTATATCTGTCAATCATTTTAATTCATGTAGTATTATAATTTAGTAATAATTTTTTTAATTCAAACTATATTATAATAATAGCTTTTATATACATAATTATATTTTATTATCATCACTAATTTGTTGTATTGTTTGACTGTATAATTTTATTTTATTTAGAATAATTTCATTATAATTTATTATATATATATATTTTTATTTTATTATAATCTTTCATTTGATAAAAAATACATATTATTTTTGTACACTACAAGCTATTACATGAATATTTTATTATAATATTTATTAATTTATATTATCATTAATTTGTTATAATTTAATAATTACAATTAAATTAACTTCAACTTAAAAATTTATTAGATTTAGTTTATTGTAAATAGAATAATTGTTTTTATTAAATAAATATTTTATCCATTCTCAATCATGTATATAAATATTTCCGCCGTTATTGCCCATGAGAAAGGATACAGTTTAAGATAACAGTAGAGAATATTGTCACATCATGCAAGATAAGTCGCCACAATGAAACTTGACATTAAAAATCCCATTATCAGGGGAATTGCATTGTACACATGGCTATATGGTGCTATATTTGTAGTTTTACCACTCCTTCCCCAATGCTGGGTTTGGCAATGAATATACAGTAGAGTTATATTCTGTGTTTGGTTGTTTTGAGCATGATACTCACTGTCACACACATATGGCTTGTCTCTATCCTCTAGGGATGCTGGGTCCTGTCTCTTTCTCATCCCCCCAACACCACATGCCTGGACAAAAATTACATGTAAACACAGATTAGTTTACAGTTGGCGACCAGTCTATTTTACACAGGTGCAGCTAGAAAACCATCGTTAGAACCATCAGTGCGGCGCACCTCCCACTTCCTTCATCAAGCTTTAAGCAAATCCTCTTACACAGCATTAATTACACCTAGCACACAATTATCACAGCATCTCTTCTGCATACTGCCAGCTAACTATGTGGGGTGTGAGAGATCTTAGAGGAAGAAGTGTGTCCCAATTAACAGCGCAGAAGGTGACAGAATCTAGGGAGTGAATCGGAGACAACCTCGTATGTATTTCTGCTAGACTACAATCCTGAAAGTCGCATGTATTGCCAGGGTCGCACCATACATCGATATTTACATTTGCTGAATTTGAATTAACATAGCAAAACGAATTAACAATTGCCATTCAAACTTGAATTTATAAGTAGAATTCAAATAGAATGAAATTCGTAACTGTAGTTTTAAGTAAAACATTAATTTTCTTTCAGTATGAATAAAAGTTTTCATACACATCTTATGCAGAAACATTACATGTTAATAATAATCAACCTCTAGAAATATGTATTTAATTTATTTATACATGCAATCGATTAATTTTCCTTTTCTTGACTAACGTGGAATACGTTCTCTGATGCATTCATTACTATATCACATTATGTAATATCAAATATTATGTATTAAATAGATTTACATTTTAATGTCAATATTTATTCTCCAAATTTATCTCAAAAAATAAAATGGTTACCATATTATATGGTGCCATGTGGCAATTGTTGTTTTGATGGCAGAGAAGTCAATTTAAAATTAAAAATATTAAAATAATAATAAATTTATTATTATTATTATTATTATTATAATTTGTCTAATTAGTTTGTCAAACACCAATTTCTGCATAAAAAAGTATACATTTTTCATGTAAGTTCATGCAAAATTCATCATATGCCATAATTAAAACCAAATACTCCGTTTTTTAAGTCTTATTTCGCTCAAGAACCTTGTTCCTCAACAAAAATAGCTATCTGTACAGTTTTCCTTCTGTAGGCTGTTGTTTCATGGTTTGGCTACTGCAGCTTGCATGCATTTCTGTTCAGAACCACTTACAATTCAAACCTTTCATGTATGTGGGGTTATAATTACAGATGAACTTAACCGTGTTTTCAGTGTGCTATCAGACATCAGGTGTTGTCTTTAAAGTCGTATAAAAAGGATGTTTTTTCATGGCTGTTGGGAAGGAGCTGCTTTGAATCAACGCAAACCCAGTGGAACGCAATGATGAAAGGTACTGAGGGATCAAACCTGGAGATGTACTAAACAGCCATAATGGATGAGATACAATGGCCTGCTTTGTTCAGAACACAGCATTGACAGGAATCCCAGATTAAACAAAGACCCTGCAGGGCTCACTGCAAACCTACAGGTCTGCGATATATAAAAAACACTCAATTTGGGTTGTGGCTTGTGGGTTTAACTGCTACCTAGAGGACTGGTTCTCAACTGGTCAGTTGCAAGCCAACAGTTTAGCCTATAACAGTTTTGTTCTGACAGGATCACAAACAGAAGGAAACAAAACAACATTAAATGCAAGAATTATAATGTACATACAAATAAATGAATAATAATACATAGTTAGGATAGCAAAGTGGCTTATCAACTTCTAAAAGAGGGTAAAAATGCTTTCAGTATTTTTTATTGTTTACATCTGAGCCACTGAGGACACCGTGGTTGAATTTCATTTATGAAGGAAATGTGCCGAAGTGAGTTGTTAAAGTGTTATTTGCGCAAATCATTTTATGCCGGACTGCTCCACAAACAATTCAACGCTGGATTTGCACAAAAGTTATTAGATTAACATGATGGTGCATGCTAGTCGATACGTTGAATCAACTTAAATCCACAACAACTACTTAAATGTATCCACTACCCATTCAGAATTATCCAGTTGCATTATAAATGTTCTAACTTCTTTCTGAGTCTCTTAGTGTCCATCTTTGTTTCGAATATGTAAGGAAGGCTGTACTTCGCCTGACAATTTCTGACATTTTGGCTGCTTGGCTGTTGCTGGAGTATCCGAAGCAAAAGCTGTAAAGGCTCCACCCGTTTCTGGAAAGGTGGCGGGGAGCAACAGCTCATTTACATTTACAGAGACACAAAAACAGCGTGTTTTTGCTCCCGGCCAAATAGGGGCAAATTTGACAAGCTAAAATAAATCTGTGGGGTATTTTGAGCTTGAACTTCACAGGCACATTCTGGGGACACCAGAGACTTACTGTATATTACATCTTGTGAAAAGGGGCATAATAGGTCCCCTTTAAGGCTGTATGCCTAATCAAACTATAGAAAATACATCTAATAGCATCTAAACTACTAATATAAAAATACAACCCAGGACCATATACATTTGGCTCGGAATAAATGAGTTCTTATAATGAGTTCTGAAGCAAAAGCAGTTGAATCTTAGGGCATTGTGAGTAATCACCCAGCAAAACCTGATGATTCACTCTAGTATTAGTATGATTCATACTAATTAATTAGTCACAGCAGGTCCAAGCAGAACATGTCATAGATGCATGTGTTTTACCCGTCCTTTGGTGCGATTCTTGCGTTTGGGAACGTCCTCTTCCATCTCTTCCATGTCCAGCTCGTGAGGAAAATCTCCCACCAGCAGTTTCTGTGACCACAAGGAAAGACCAGCACATATGAGTCAGCTGTACTGTATGAAAAACACTTGAAAATCTGGTGCAGGAATGAACAACAGACTAAAAGAAATATATATATATCGAACATGTTTTATATTGGCTCACAATAAACATGAGTTTGTTATGGCATTAAGCAATGTGTCCAGGTCCCAGTGGACACAGGGTTAACTTACAATTGCTTGAATAAACACACAAAAAACTGAATTATCTAGTTGACAGTATTTTTAACATTTAGGTTAGCTTTGTTGTCTTTCTATGAAATCTCGCAAGCAAAAAAAGGCCATTGTCTGTTGACAATAGTGAAGTAACACCTCAAACAGAAGTCATTTTCAAACCAAGCAGCTTTGTGTTGTTGGTCGATTCGGCGAATGCATAACGCCTTTGAACTAGTTGAGAAATCTTTCAACCTCAAACCAAATTCCCTATCACTAACTGGATTTTACACAAGGAAATTTGGTGAACACCCTAAAAACACTAATTGTTAGATGTCATTTTTAACAAATCGCAAACTGAATATCCATATCCATTTTCACACTGTACATCATAATTCAAAATGAATGATTTTTGTTTTTATTTTTTAATTTATTTCGACTAAATATAGATTTAATGTCACATTTAAATGGGTGGGTGGAAATGTGATTATGAACCCAAATCCTGTTTTTCTTAGAGGCCAAGTACAGAAGTTGTGCCGACACCCTGAAAAAAAGAGGAACTTTACAGTGCAAGGAAAAGACGTCTACTTAATTTTCTTCACCTGTCTGTCAGGTGGAATTTGTAGGTCTGATCATTTAAAAAGTAATAGCACACACCTCTGGAAATTTTGACAAAATGTTGCTAAAGTGGCGCACCTTAAAAGCTCTGATACACTCACAACCGCCCGAAATGCTAGAGCGGTGTTTAGATGAACATGGTGTACTATGCGCTTTCCTCGCCGTTATGAAATAAACACAACAAAACAGTTAAGTTAAGAAAGCATCATAGCAAGATGGTTATGTTTGTACAAGCTCTGCAATTAGGCACATAAGTCAAGTCATGTCACATTTATTTTAAAAGCAGTTTATACACTAGCACTTTTACAGTATTAAACATGAAAAACAGCTCTCCAGTGCGTTCATGTTTTTACTCGCAACTGACCTCGATAGACTGACGAGAAAAAAATGAACCAGAGAAGATTTCCACGTCGAAGAAGGCAGAGTCTCAGAGCCACATCCATTTACATAATTACCATGGACCATTTTGAAAACAGCCATTTTGAAATTCTTAAACAAACTCCAAACAAACTTTAATTTGGCCTGATTTAGTTTGAAATTATGTCACACCAGTTCAGTCTTCAGTTTCACTTGAAGTATATCAGAGCCTTAACTGTGTTGAATACCTTGAAAGTGCACAACTGTAAATGTACTCATCGTATGTGGCAGTGGGAAGTGAACAGAGGTAGCAGGGAGGCGCATAGCTTTTTAACTCCTGCAGGGACCTGAGGCGATACAAGCAGCAGGATCACAGGTCCGCTCCCAGGGGAAGGAGCGCTCTAAAGAGTGACTCTTAATTGAAGTGCTAATTGGTTAACTGTCCACCCCTGGGATAGATGTCATGTTATGTGCAAAACAGTGAGGGTGATGACACTAGTGAAAGCTTAATGAACTGGCAGACTGGTTCATTAGGATCTATAAGCATTCGCACGTCAACAAAAATAAGTACCAGTAAACTCGTTGAGGCGTTGAAAATGTGCATCCGCTCTCCACAAAATCAATACAATAACTTTGTCAAACTTACTCACATACACGGACACACACACAATAACAAAAATACACTCGCAAGTATACACACTTTGTAGTTACAGTAACAAAGATGTGGAGGTGTGTCAGCCCTGCAAGGATTTGTGTTACTGCCAAGACACACAAGTACTACAGAGAAATCCGAAGGGGAGAGAAAGAGTAAAAGAAAGGAAGTGTTATATGATTTCCCTCTGATTTTAGTGATAAGTTATGGGTTGGGTTAGGTTTAGGACTAAATTTTTTTGGTGAGGGACAGTGTCTTGGTGTGTACTTCAAGGCTATAGTGTGTAAAAGAACTCTTATCTAGTTGACTGTTGAGTGTCTGGTTTGGCTACAAAATCTTTTTAGGAGGAACAATTTTTCTTACCTGGCATTCACTCATGGGTTCCTCCTCCTTTGTTTCAATTTTCTTATCCAGCAGTTCCCCACTGAGGAGTGACTCCAGCACAGGCCCCTCAGGAACACCCCCTTCCTTCTTTAGTGCTGTTTCATAGTCTGAACACACACAATAAACAATTATTACGCCAAGGCATTTATACTCAGCTCATAAAACATAGAAACATATTAAGCAGCCAAGCTGTTTTGAAAATTGAAACAATAAGTGTTTCTTGAGCATCAAATCAGCATATTAGAATGATTTCTGAAGGATCATGTGACACTGAAGCCTGGAATAATTAAGCTGAAAGTTCAGCTTTGCATCACATTACTTTTAAAATACATAAATATAAAATATATAACTTGTAATAATAATAATTCACAATATTACTGCTTTTACTGTATTTTGATTAAATTAAAGCAGCCTTGGTGAGCATAAGAGACTCATTTAAATAAGAGAAATCTTTTGAATCCCAAACTTGTGAAGAATGGTCATTTCATTTGTGTGGTTTTTTGTTGTTGTTGTCTCTTTTTTTCAGTAAAATCAGACTAAGTATTCCTGTGATGCAAAGTTCAGCTTTGCATCACAGGAATAAATTACTTTTAAAATACATAAATATAAAATATATAACTTGTAATAATAATTCACAATATTACTGCTTTTACGGTATTTTGATTAAATTAAAGCAGCCTTGGTGAGCATAAGAGACTCATTTAAATAAGAGAAATCTTTTGAATCCCAAACTTGTGAAGAATGGTCATTTTTATGTGTTTTTTTGTTGCTGTTGTCTTTTTTTTTCAGTAAAATCAGACTAAGTAGATACCTTAAGTTTCTGTTTTTCTTTCACTGACTGAAAAAAAAAAGTTTTAGGGTGTTGAATCAGAAAATACAATAGTACAACATACATAAATCCCCCTAAAAAATGTGATAAAAGATTTGTGTCCTTCTTGTTAACACCAGCTCTCACCGATTTTAAACTCGATGGGTCCAAGACGTGGATCCTCTAAGATGTTTAACCGTCTCTTCTTTCTCCAGCAACGTGCTGGATAGGTATAGAGCTGTCCTGGAGCCACACCTGGGTCAAACAGAACCAGAGGCGGATGGTAACATGGTCTAAACATCCTAAAATCACCTATGTAGTGCGATATACTGTACACATAGACACACACCTGGCCCACGATGGGTCTTCTCCATCCATATGTAGCAGTTACTCTGTGCAACGCCTGTTTGGGAGTCGAGGAAAGGCAGGCGCATGGAGCGCTCGGCACAAAGTCGAGCATTATAACTGCGGCAGTGCTCTATGGCCTCGCGGTAAAACTCCTCACCAAGGCTGGAAACAATTAAAAAGTGGAAATTTGTTACACCAAACACATGAATCTAAGAATGATTGATTTCACTGCTCAAACAACTAATTAAAAACAATATTTATTATTTAAAGGCCCATGAAATCAAAATTTGAGCTTTGTGGATTTAATCTGTGTGTGTTAGTTTTGAAGCCATCTATGGAGAACACTTAAACATTAAGAAAATTCATATTTAAGCACATAGACATTCAAAATTTACAGTCTCTGTAAAAAATATTGATGAGTCATGTTGCGCTAAACAGATTTTTGTCCAAGTCACTTCAAGGGGTCTTAAAATTTTCATCCTTCTATGCGGAGAACTCTTTATACTGACATGCAGGAGAAAATACATTTCCAGCTTTGTTAGCAACATATCATAGCAATGACATGTATAGCAGTATACACTGTACAGATTCTCACTCGTGGATAAAAGGGTCATGTAGGAACAGTTGTTTAAAAACACTGCAGCATGAGAACTGTGGTGAGCATTAATGGTTCATCTAGGGGGAGGAAAATCACGCAGTCAACAGTTCTGTCCTCAAGAGTATGTTTGCATGCTTGAAACTGGTCAGGACAAAAGTACCAGCAGGGATTTTATTGCTGAGGCTGCAGTGAGAAACCTGCTTAGCAAACTGCTGTATTTGTAAAACAATTTTAAGATCAGGGAAACACTTTATAATAACTAATGAATAAGTCAGTAGCAACAGTTGTATATTGCTTTACAGATAAGTAGTTAATTTACAGTACATTCAAATTTGAATATATGAAATCATATGACTCAAAGTTGAATGAGATTTCTTAAATTTTGCAGTGGGTGGATGGGAGGCTATATATATTGTTGTTTTATAAACTGCAATTGCTAATAATACAATATTAATAAAATAAAAGGCCACTCAAGTGTACTTAAAAGAGACTACACTACACTAACATGTTTCTTAACACACTTAAAGCTACACTGTGTAACTCTTTTAGTCTAAAAACACTTAGTTCTTTCAAAAATATATGTGCTCATTAATGTATATTTACTTCATTCAAGTAATACAGTATTCTCTTGAGTGTATAATATGTAGAGCCAGACCGATATATCGGGAGGCTGATATTATCGGCCGATATTAGGCATTTTCTAAAATATCGGTATCGGCAGTTATAATGGCCGATAAATGAATATTTCAAAAATAAAATAAAAACGGAAGAATTACGCTTCAACCATGTCATGAGTGTTGTCAAAAAGTGCAGGTAAAGGGATAAGCAAGCTGACATTGTAATTATAAGGTAGCTTATATAACTATAAGGCAATGTAGGGCCTAATTATTATTTTATTTATCAGAACTTTAATATATTTTGATGTTCCTCTGTTCTGTTGAGACAATAGAAACAAGTTTCTTTTTAAACTGCATTATCATATTATTTTAGTTAAAACTCATAAATAACTACAAATAACTAATGTTAGGGAAATCTGTTAATATTTTGTTGTGCATTTCTGAAATAAGAATAATAATAATATCGGCCGATATATCGGATTTTAAAATCAACAAATATTTGTATCGGTATCGGCCTTCAGAATCCTTTATCGGTCTGGCTCTAATAATATGCCATTGAAAATACATACGGGTAAGGGGTTCTAATGTCGGTCGCCATGTTGCCCCTCCATCTTGAAAGCACATTAGCCAAAGAGGGACATACCCGTTAATTCAAGCTTCGCCTTTTGCGTTTTCGTTTGCGTTAACACTCATGGACGAGGTTGAACTGGAAGCCATGTTAATCTGGGACTACATTGGCCACCGTAGGAGTTAAAACGAAATCGGAATTGAGAGGAACAGAAACTAATATTCACTGGATGGTCATATACCTTTTCACTGCTAGATGGGGGTAAAAATCACACAGTGTAGCTTTAAGTACATTTAAAAAACGTGCACTTTATACAGTAATAATGTTCATTTTAAACAGAAATGACATTGACATTGCAGTATATTTTACCATAAATGCTTGTCAGTACATTCAGTGGAACGCTTTAACCATCATTCAAGGACAATTAGAAGTAATTATAAAACACAGCACAGAATGTCAAATGACCAATCAAAATCCGATATTTTAAAGTGAGACATGTAATAATGTTATAAATCAAAGTGTCATCGAATTTAGTCAAGATATTCCTTTGATTTTGCTAGTTTATTCAGCATTGAAGGTTATTCTCTAATGTTTTCTCTCTCATTGTTAACATAAGGAAAGCTCAAAAGTGCAGAAATAATTGGGGGTGCTTAAAAAGTCCTGACAATAGTCGCAGTTGCCTTTTCTTCTCTCTTTCTTTTTGCAAACCAGCTGAATAAAAGACGGTTAACTCTCTACTACGTCGTAAGCTATTGTAAAAATTAACCCTATGGAAGTATTGGAGAGGACAGGAGTTTTGGGACACAGTCTGATCGGTTTCTTTCTGCTGACGTGTCCATCGTTTGTTTCATTGAAATCAAGAGCGCTGGTCTGCAAACAGGAGTGAGAAATGGAGGAAAATTGCATCATGCAACAATGACTGCATCCCTAAAACAAGCCTGATAACAAATTGACAGAGGCTTGAGGTGATTTTGATGCTGTAAGTGTAAATCCATTGTGATTGGTGAACTCATCCATTTCTCCTTGCGGGGGAATGATGAAGAGCCCTGTGGCACAAGACTAACAACTCAGTCAGACTGAAATAAATAACCATCATTTCTCCAAACAAAATGGCGGCCAGAGCCCAACGCATTTTCTAATTTAGACCATGTTTTATTTGGTGGCCAGTGGCCACATCTTGGTCATTCAGTGTGGGCTGAAATCAGTCCTCAACATGTGGGTTGAAAAGTCACTAAGTGTGCAGGGGCAGTAAATTACAGTGCATCGAATGTCATGTACTCAGGTCCACCTGAGAGGAAATATTAAGTCCTGCGGCGAAGTGCTGAGGTTCTCCATTTAAACACCTCTACACACAGCAGATACTCATTCTGTGGTCAATCTCACACAATGGACCAGCAATATCTAAAGGTCAGAGAGCGAGTAAAAAACTAAGTTTGGAGCCTCTGTGATATGTGACAAATTGTTTTTCAGGGTAAGATCTTTTTAAATGAGCATTTAATTTTGTTTTCGAACAATTTCTGAAAGGCTTTCTGATTGGAGTTTGAATATTTTAAACAGAATAGTCCATTATGGGCCTCTCCAAAAGTTGAAAGGAGTTGGGTGCAAAACAGCAGTTCCCTCAAGAACTTCCTGAATCGTTGAGATAATGTGGCTTCTTCTTTGTATGGCATAGTTTGTTTTCAAATCCCACAAGCACAATGAAAAAGCAATCAATTCTATCTGAAATATATGGAGCCCCGCACATGACATGCAGAAGAGAAGAAAAAAACAATTCTATTGTGGCCACAAATTTGTTCTTGCGTACAACTTATGAACATTGTACTAATTTGTTCCCTCATTTTGTCCCAAGAATTCCATCCCAAAATGTATTAGGCCTGTTTTGTTCCCTCATTTTAGATAAATAGTGGTCTTCTAATTTGTTTCATCATTTTAGTTAAATCACGGCCAACTAAGAGTGTCACGATTTCGATTTTAAATCGAAATAGGTTCTCCATTTTAAATCGAAATAGACCGAAATTAAGTCACAATCTCGAACTTTGAATTAAAAAATGGAGTCGTCGATGCTGCCACGCCCCCATGTCACGTTCGGCCGGCAAAGAAACGTGTGTGTTGCTGCGATAGTGCTACGTTAGTGCTGCGAGTCAACTAGGGTTGGGTATCGTTTGAATTTGAACGATTCTGATTCCGATTCCTTGTTTCGATTCCGGTTCCTAACGATTCTCAATTCCGATTCTTTTAAGAGGCAGGGTCAAAAAAGTTTAGCTAACCTTGCTAACCAACGGTCTTTCGGAAGGAAATAATCCTTTCTGAAGGAAATACTCCTTCTGTCACAAATACTCCTTTTGTCACAAATTTTGCATTTTGCCGAGATTTCGTTATTTTTAGAAAAGTGAAGCCACACTTTGGACCGCCGACGTAAGCTACTCATGTTCGACTCGCGCGGTTATACCAACACTTCCGGTAGACGCTTCTTCGTTGGTGTTGTTCAGCAGTTTCTTCTTCCGCTCGGCGGACTGTGAATATCGAAACTAGGAATCGAAATTTTTACTCTTGAACGATTCCGGGAAAAACGAAAAGTTAGTCCCGGTTCCAATCGATACTCGATTCTCGATACCCAACCCTAGAGTCAACCTCCTTTAACTTATGGCGCTTTTCCATTACCAGTACCAGCTCGACTTGACTCGCCTCGGCTCACCTCGACTCGGCTCGCTTTTCGCTCCATTTTTAATTGCAGACAGTACCGCCACAAATAGTACCCGGTCATCATAGCAGCGCCTTTCGTTCCTCGTTGCTCTCGCTGGATCCTCTCTTTGGCAACCAAACAAAGGAAAGTCTGCACCTCCTCGTTTGACCACGGCGTATTCTTCCGAGTTGCCATAATAATAGTTTAGTAACTATCTCTGGCCAAACTACGGGGTTATTGTGGATACTCCATCTGGTGCGTGCAATGATGACGCAGAGAATAGTGACGATTCTCTGACCAATCAGCAGTCGGCATTGTTTTCACGTCACATTTTAGTATTGCCTCAGCTCGCTCAAAACCTCGCCAGAGGTGATACAAAAAAAGTACCTGAAGGCAGGTATAGGTACAACTTATACTGTGTAGTGGAAAAGCGTCTTTAGCTAAACCAGTTAAAAGATAATGGATTAGCATAAAATTTATTCTTCTATAGTAATTTTCTCTTTCAGATAAACAGCTTTTGTGGAGCAACCGTTTGAAGAGGATCTTAGTCTTGTTGAGCAAGTAAGTCACAGTTACTTAAACTGTCAACGTGTTTATAGGTTCCTCAAATCAATCGACGCTGTCTCAATGAGCCCACTTCTGCTGGCGGTTTAAAGTGTGGCCACACTAGCGGAGTTTCTGCTAAATTTAATGGGCAAAAAAAAAATAAATGTCAATAGTGTAGCAATGTATGAAGCACAGCTCCCACTGAGGTCACTTTTAAACCAAACAGCTTTATGTTGGTCAATGCAGCAAATTCACTACCAACTTGAACACAATGCGAAATAGTGGGAACCTTTTCCACCCTCAATTGAAATTCCAGAATCTGTGGATAGCTTGTTTTCATATGACATCACGTCACTGCGTTGCCATGGCGTGAAATGCTAATGGAGGCCAGGAAGTGATTTGCTGTATTTAAAAAGCACTATTACAAACTCAAAATACCTGTTTTGCATTGCTTTTATTACCAACCCTCTATTACCTGGTTACTTAAATCGTAGATTGAGTTTTTATCATGTACCAAAAGTTGTTGTACATAAGGGGGGAAAATGCAAGAAATTGACCGAAAAACTCAGAATAAACGGCTTGCAAACCTACGTCTGTGGTCGGGAGGAGCCGAATGGGAAAATGCCCATGTGTGCAGTGATCACTTTGTCAAAGGTGAGTTAGTACAACTGAAGCGGCTATGTTTGTGTAACGTGTAATGTTTCCAAACTTTGTAAAGTCAAAGTATGTCTGTAAGACGAGTTAGTTGCTGATATCTACCGCCTTGATGGCAGGAAAATCTTTCAATTCAGTTGAAAAATCGCTCCACTTCATAACGTAAGGATCACGTCCAACATATGTTAGATTTTTTGTTTATATCTTTCTCTTGTAAAAGCGTGTAAAGTAGTACAATATGGACTTTCCTCCATATTGTCCATTGCGCTCTTCACTCCCTGCCCTCCATCTGAATTTCACGCGTCATCATAATCGTGTGACTGAAACCCAGCTATTTTATTATGCCAACAAAATTTCATCAAGGCGATAGTAAATGTGACTGCACTTTAACACTATGTGTTGTACGTATGACTATGTACCAGTGAGGAGAAGGAAGATTAGATCAGTGTGTCAGATTTAACAAGCATACCTGTTTTTTATGACGGTTCCACTTGATTGCCTACGAAGAGGGAGAGAAAAAAAGACAGAAACAGACATGAGCAGATGCAGAAAATATCTCATTTTTTATGCATTAAATAAGATGGAATTCCATTCAAACTATGTTAAACTAACAGAAAAAAATGACCAAGCATTAATTAACGAACTACAGACAAAGACTCTTAACCATGGTCACCCTACAGTATATAATTTTTTTCTAATGCCAATATTTAAAGAACAGGATGACCTATATAACCAATATAATGATGTAATACAATTTAAAGGGATAGTTCACCCCCCAAAAAAGAGACTTTCGTTCAATGTCCTTTCTTCTGTGGAACTCAAAATTAGATATTCTGTTAGATAACTCAAACATTTACTTTCCATTTACTTTTCCCTTTTACTACCCTGAATACCATTTACTTTCATTAAATGGACAAAAAAACACTGATTTAGAAAGGAAAGGAAAGGAAAGGAAGCCATACCATCTGATTAACAGGCCTGGCATATATCCGACTCTGAAACTAGGATCGGATATCTTGACAGTGTTTTCTGATTTGCCACATGAGCAGCATGAGGCAGCGGCATGCAGTTTTTCAGCAGACAGGAATAGCAGCAAACAGAAAACATTTCTTATTGCCTTTTTAACAACATTACTGAGAGATGCGTTATTTGCAGTCATTGTATTCGTGCTGTATGGGAGCTCCAAAAACATTGGGTATCTTGGAGGAAAGCAGACAGAATGGAGAAATGGATGAGGTTAGCTAATATAAGAAAAATCAATAAGAGGAAGCAAAAGCCTGAAGCAAACCAACCAGAGTTTGGCTTGTGTGCGGGCAGAGCTGGCCAGGAATGGCATCCGGGGAAAAGTGTGTATGCCAGTGTGCCATGAGGAAGCGCTTTCACTTCTTTGTGAGTAAAACTATGCAGAGAGGGAGTGAAAGGTCAGTGAGTGTGTGTGTGTGTGTGTGTGTGTGTGTGTGTGTGTGTGTGTGTGTGTGTGTGTGTGTGTGTGTGTGTGTGTGTGTGCGTGTGTGTGTGTGTGAATTCGATTTTAGCCTTGAGATAGTTGATGCTGAGTGTTGTGATTTCACTTTGATCTAACTGACCAATGAGAAACCACAGCAGAAGGAAAAAACACATTAACTTTAGTTTGGTGACCATTTCTGATTCAAACAAAATATTTTGTGCACAATATAATAAAAAATAATATAATATAATAAAAAAAAAATATTAAATAATATACCATGTCACCAAGATTTTTGAATGCGTACTATGGAAGTACATGACATTTTTTGAATAACACGAGAGTTCAAAATGTGCATACTTTATTTATGCACAAAAAAGACACACTACTGGCATTTTTTCCACAGAATTTTATCGTTTTTGTACTGATAATGAAGGATAATATTGATCTTTCACTTCATTACAGTAAAATAAACAAAAAAAAAAATGCACGTGCCATATAAAAAAGCATTCATATATATATATACATTTTTCTTAAGAAATTTAATTTGGTCATGTACGATCATGATGTACTAATGAATAAAATTGTAAATAAATCAAATTGATAAACAGACATATTTAAACAGTTTATCAATGTTTTCAAATGTAGTAAATGTAGTAACAGTAATAAAATAAAAATAAAATAAAATAAAATAAAAAATTTTACAGTAAAATGTTAAATACTAAATACTATTAATAAATGAAACACTGAATTAAATTGCATTTTTACAAAGCACTTAATGTTTTTCGTTTCCTTGCTAGTCACATTGTCGCTTTTGACATTGAAATAAACAGTTAAACATTTATTTATTTATCAATTTCAAAAGTGATTTAAAAATGTATTATTTTCTTAAATTAAATAGTTTTATTGACAAAATAAAAAAATTATAAATGTAGTATTGAAATCTAAATATACAAACTAAATAATATAATATAATATAATATAAACAATGAGTTGAGTTCATATTGATAATTGTTTCCTTATATTTATTTTTACGTGGCAGTTCTTGTCCTACTTGGAGACCGTGTCCTACTTGTCTCAATTATGTTGGCAAGTCCTTCCTGACCCATGCAGATAGAATGCAAATTTTTTTCTCAATAATTTAAAGTAAAAGTGAGTTACTGTGATGTAGACTTGGGCAGAGACCTGAAAGCCTTAGAAGGAAATGGGTAGTGCAAAAAGACACAAATGCAAAGCAACTCACCCCTGAGGTTCAAGCCAATGCTCCCTCCCCCCTCTGCCTCTTTCTAGTCTGAGCACAGAGCCGTCAAGCCCCCCTTCTCAATTCCATCACCTCACTCCTCCTGTGTGTGTGCTAGTGGAACAAGTCTGGCTTTCAGTAATAAGTTGACAGCTGTAGAAAATGGCCGCTCTCAGTTTGTTTGCTTTTTTACACAATCTCATTATATTATACTGTGGCAGTGGCCTTGAAAGCTGTGAAATGTGTCTTGCTGGAAGACGAACGAAAGCCTGCCATATGGAATACAGTCTGAAAGTAGGCCGAACTCTGTGAATTCCAATTTGCTCGATCAACACTGTTCCCTGCATTTCTTTCTGTAGTTTAATCACAATTCTTCATATCATTGGTGACCAATATTCGACTGTAAATAAGCCCTATATAAATGTAATGAATTATTAATTATTATTATTATTATATGGATTTCATGAACTCTTTCCTTGCCATTGATGAAATTTTCTGGCAATCCAAGTTTTCACTGATTAAAGGGTAGGGGGGCGCTATTACGCATCTTCTGAAAGAGTACTGAATCTCCGGATCAAAACACAGAGAAGAAGAAGCAGAAACAAGTGATAGAAGCATTGCGTATGCAGATGTAAAATAGTGCGATCATCAAATATTAAAGCAGAACTCGGCAACTGAAAGACTTCTTTGCTGATTTTGACTTTTTTTGTCGCATCTTTTACCCGCGAGCTCCCCCTACAGCTGTGGTCCGTATATTTCCCAACACTGTCGTAAAAAGTTCACTTGCGGCACCCTTCTCCCCCGTTCTACCTCACGTGCATTTGTTATAAACGGAGCCGGCCAACTGCGGAGCGTTGTGGAGCTACAGTATGTCTACCGAGGTGGGTAATACATCAAACACATTATCATAGAACATTGACATGTACATTTTTTATTCTGTTATCAACTATAAAACGTAACACGGTTTGTGTGGATAAAGCTAGCGAACGTTAAAGCTTATAAATCAAAACTGCCTAATGTTACTGAATGAAATGTTGTCCCAGGGAGAGCTATAGGACTGTGAAGCTTTAGGGGTGTTCAATCTACTCTATTGGTGCTTTTCCACTGCATGGTACGATACGGCGCGGTTTGGTATGGCACGCTTTAGCGCTTTTCCACAGCATGGTACGGTATGGCTCGGCTCGGCACGGCTCACTTGTGGAGCTTTTCCACTGCATGGTACGGTACGGCTCAGCTCGGTACGGTTCACTTGTGGCGCTTTCACTGCATGGTACGGTATGGCTCGGCTCGGTACGGCTCACTTGTGGCGCTTTCACTGCATGCTACAGTATGGCTCGGCTCGGTACGGCTCACTTGTGGCGCTTTCACTGCATGGTACGGTACGGCTCGGCTCGATACGGCTCACTTGTGGCGCTTTCACTGCATGGTACAGTATGGCTCGGCTCGGTACGGCTCACTTGTGGTGCTTTCACTGCATGGTACGGTACGGCTCGGCTCGGTACGGCTCACTTGTGGCGCTTTCACTGCATGGTACGGTATGGCTCGGCTCGGTATGGCTCACTTGTGGCGCTTTCACTGCATGGTACGGTACAGCTCAGCTCGGTATAGCTCACTTGTGGCGCTTTCACTGCATGGTACGGTATGGCTCGGCTCGGTATGGCTCACTTGTGACGCTTTCACTGCATGGTACGGTACGGTTCAGCTCGGTACGGTTCACTTGTGGTGCTTTTCTACTGCAAGGTACAGTACGGTACGTCTTGCTTTAAATGGTACCACCTCTGTTGAGGTTCCAAGCGTACCGTACCGACACTAAAATGTGACGTGAACACACTGTGCAGATCACTGATTGGTCAGACAGAATCGTCACTACCAGCGTCATTGTATTTGAAAAGCGTCATGTTTTGACCATCATTCAGAACCCAATCCGGACGTAGTCTTTGACAAAAATGGGATATATTCTGGGGGCCATGAAAGTTTTGTGAAAATGATCAAAAATACTGCCGCAGTGGCGCTGGTTGGAAACTTAAGCACATACACAAAAAAACTGGTGAGGAAAGAGTTAATAGAAGTGAGTGACTATGTTATTGTGAAAGAGAATTTGGACAAACCTTTCAGGCCGGACTTCAATTTGTCAGCATCAGTGACAAATGGAGCACAGATCTAATCATATACATCTGAGGCAATTACTCTTGAATTTTCATTACATTTGAGTTTGCTGCACAGTGTTGCTATATTGGAAGCATATATCAAAGCAAAGGCTAATGAAAGAAAGCCTCCAAATTATAATCTACTTTTAAAGCTATTTTTGGTAGCTGCTGCCCACTTTCTTTGCAGCTAAAGCCTTTACAGGGAATTGTCAACATGTCAGATCCTGCAATAAAATGTGTTCAGCATTGATAACGCATGCTTGATACAATATGAATGCCTGCATGTAATAACCACTTACAATTTACACAAAGAAAGCCAGGCTGACACACACACACTTGCTAAGAACCTTAAGAGCATGGTGCCTTTTCCCCAAACCAAAAGAGAAGGGGAAAAAATAAATGATTGGAGAGGAGCGCTTCGAGCATCCACACTGTCACTCCTGTGCAAAGCTCAACTATGACCCTCAAAAATAGAACATCCTCCAAAATTAGCTCTTCTTCTGTAGCCTATTTAATTTAAACCAGCGAGGAGGCAGAGGGAGATGTTGTCCAAATTTGTCTTGAAACTTACTGGTGTATTCCTCATTATACTCACCACACAACCAGAAAACTCCCTACAGTGCCAATTAGTCTCAATTAACAGTTGTCCTTTTGAAAAGTAACAGAGA